TCCATGATTCTAAGTTTTCGATGACATTGGATTGCTTCGATTGCTGCTCAGTGTTGTGAGTTTGCTCGCTTTCATCGGATTTTGGAATGTCTACGTCGTTCTCATCGAGCCATGCAATATCATGGTGCTCTAAATTTTGAATAATGCACATTCGTTCATTAGCACGACGAGCAGCGACTCTTACAGGTCTAATTTTCCTATCAGTGTACGGGTTTACTTTTTTATGGATATTTTCGATGTGACGATTTAGTGACTTGACGGAAGCATGATAAAGACCACACGTTTTGCATATTCGACTTGATAGCCTCAATTTTACCGTCGGATAAAAATAATCGTAGGGCATTTGCAGGAAATCTTTGAGTGAAGCACTTAAGCGTAGAGCAAGATTAAGAAATTGCCCTTCTTCATCCAAAACCAAGTCATCAACTGTTTGTTTTACTTTTACAGGTGGTGGAAGAAACCTATTGTCTAGTAATCTAAATAGGCCACTTCTTAGACGACAGCATTCTGTATTTCTACATTTTACAATTTGAAGCAAGTATTGGCTCTCACGCACATGTTCTGAATACCATTTAATGTCTGGAAAATCAGGAAGATCTTGTTCACCTGCCCCAACATATTTTGCATTAACATTATAGCCATCAATTTCCATACTTCAGCTAATAGATTTCCTGCAAATTCGAAATTAGATCTTTCTAAATGCTCATCAATTGTCACGGCCACGTTCATCCAAATGAGACCCAAAATGGTCAAGAGGCAATATACACCAGCCAGTTCCCCACTAAGGGGGAGCCATTTGCGCTCTTACTCTGTTATACGCACTTCCTCCAGGAGCATTGGTAGCTATAAACAATGCATCGAGATCATGTCGCGTAAAGTGTTGTATAGCAAACCCCTATGAACTTTTTGATAACGTGGATTTTCATCTGTCCCTCCATCAACCGTCATGATACCACTGGTTTTATTAGTCCATGGTCAGTTTTAGCTAATGGTCGAAACTCTTAGCTAATGAGTATTAGCAGTAGATGAACTATGCTTTCCACTTCGAATAGCGATGTATGTTGGTCCAGAATATCCAACGGCTTGCGGTTGACCTAGCATATTGGAAGTGATTTTGATATCAGCATAAACAGATGGTACTAATTTATGACGCTCAGCGATTACCCAATCGTGATCAGGCGATTTGATTCTATATTCCATGTGTATTAGAAGAGGTGCTTGCTTATTTGCCGCAGTTACGCCAATAGGGACTCAAGCTTTATCATCTTGATATATGAAAAATACTTGATCTGGTTCAAGTATGGATGCTATGTTCTCTAAATAATGGATTGATGTTTCAGCGAACTTGCTATCCAAGTGGCTCTTGTGGCGATCAGTTTGAGCCCGAATGAGCTTAACAGGGACTGTCGATGCGTGTCTTCGTCCCTCTGCAGAATTAGATTTTCTGGGAATCAAACGAAGATATGTCCCACTGCGACTAATGTCAAATCCTATTTTACGTAATTCTTGTGTGAGTTCATCAAGAGCTTTTGCGCTGCGAATTGATTCCGTTCGCTATATCCGCGATTGTTTTCAATAGTGAATGTTGATTGCTTTCAAGATTAGGACGTCCCACTGAATCCCTCAGAGATAGTCTTTTTTTATTTCTGGACTTTCATGATAAACATCTTTTAACTCTCTTTTCATACCATCCCTGTGTTTCTTCTGGGCAACTGCGTTTTGAACCTTCCTGTTTAAAGACTGTTTTGCTGTTTTTATTTCCTCGCGCAACTTAATGATCTGTTTATCAACTTCAGCACGGCTTGGCATAGTATCTCTGGCAGAATACAAAGCATTCAGATTTTTTTCGAGTAGAGCAGTCTTATTTTTCATAGCTTCCTGAGAAGGTTTTGCTCTCTGTTTATCTGTATTTTCATTAATTTCGCATTGCTGTTGTGATTCATCACCGGGTTTTATTTTATCTTCTTCGTCTTTTTTAATATTTGAAGCTGACTGTATAATTTGTGTTTTTTCTGCAGGTTTACAGGTTGCCTAAAAATAAAAACTTTCTATGGCTTCTGCTAAAGATTCTCTCATTAAGCTACATAAATACAAAGTATGGCAATATATATGGTAAATACAAAACCCTATGACTTTAAATCTAATAGGTTTAAACGAGCAATTCGTTCCGGTCACAAAATACAGGGTGTTAGTTTTCTGTATATATATATAAAACTAACATCCTGTACTTTGTGACCAATTGACGGAATCAATCATAAGAAATAAATCTATAATATAATGAATATTACCTCTATACTTTGAGATAGACCATAATATTTTTTAATCAGTGAAGAGAAACTTTTTGTCGATTTCTAATATTAGTACTCATAGGTACCTAAAAAGATTTCGTCACTCACCTTAGAAAAAAAATTTAGTAGATTGGATTTATCCTTAGTCGCCGCTTGCAATTCTTCTTCGATTCTCTTAGATACAACAATATCAAGTTCCTTGTCGGATTTTGCTTGTAATTTGTAATTTCGCCACACTTCGTTAACTAACTTTTGTACATTTTGTACTTTCGTACTTGTATGAGATTTTTTAAAACTTTCAAACAATTTTTGGTATAACTTGGAATTGTCTATGTGAAACGACATCTTATTTAAACATTAAACTTTGGCTAATGGAATCAATGGTAACACAAATATTAACTTGCTTTACTATGCTTACAATACGTCTACTCGCTATAGTATCCAAACGAAACAATACACTGATAGAGGAAATTTAGACAAGTGAACACCGCGCGGTAATTCGCCTACTCGGTTCTAAAGCGAGTAGGGGAATTACCGCGCGCTGTTCACTAAACGTATGCATTATTTGCGGGAATCCCGGAAAATGCGTTTCGTTTTCAAGCAAAGACAATGTGAGGGTTGCCATTCGTGTAAAGAGGTAAATAACTAGCGATGACGTAATCATCATCTAGACTCCTCTACCCCCCATGTCATCCAAAATAAGCAAAGCAAAGACCCCCCCCGCCCCCCATAGTGCTCACGTAATACTTGAACGGCCCCTATAGAAATCAAAAAAATGCCTGAATGGATGCCGCTCTATTTAAGGACGGGTTTTACAATCATTTTGTTCCCAAGACAAAACGATATTTGAATGAACGCGTATATCCGAGAAAATGTATTTTGCTATTAGACAAAGCTTTAGGCAGCAGCGGTGGCCGCAGTAGTAGACTCTTCGGTCTCCTGATCAGTCGCCGTGCGCTGTGCGGGTTCGAGTCCCGTCTCTTGGCTATGGCTGTTGTGATTGTCCGTTGGTGGTAGATGGTCTCTGACTGTCGAACGCGGAGGTACCACCCGGCGGAACTCGTAGGCGGAGCCAGAATGTGTGCATGTTGCATGCACACGTGTTCCCTCGCCAGAGTCCCTGTGACGTTCTCCTTTCCCATGTATCCCCCTATAGCCCCACGGTACCCAAGGGTGCTTAGGCCTTAGGCCTTCGTGGTAGTTCGAGTATATATAAAAAAAAGCTGCGAGCCACCCAAGTGAGGAGCAACTTAAAAGTGTGATGTTTTTGCCTACTAATGTAACGTCACTGATTCAGTCAATGGATCAGAGAGTTTTAGAAAATTTAAAAAGCAATTACGGACGTTTGTTATTAGAGCAAATTTTAGATCAAGTTGATAATGATTGTAACCTCGTTGATTGTTTAAAAGAGATTAACCTCAAGAATGTGGCATATTGGCTAGCAGAAGCATGGAGTCAAGTAAAAAATTCTACTTTTCAAAAATCTTGGTCGACAATAATTCAGCAAGAAATGGAACCTTCCGCATACTATGATAGTAACAACGAAAATGTATATGAACTCGTCGTAAAAATAGCAGGGTGTGAAAATCTCACCCAAGCAAATGTTGGTGATGAATTGGTGGAAGAATTAACTGATACAGAACTAATCGAAACTGTTTGTAACAATGGCGATAAGTCAGTTTTAAGGTTATTTGCCTGATTCCCTATACCATACATAATTTTATCCTATGCACTTGATTTTAAAAAAGTAAAATAACAATCTTAGTAAAAAAAATATACTATCAATCAGACACATCGAATGAGATCAATAATTCCGGTTTTAATGAATCTAGTACAGAGTTCCCCAAACTTTTTTGTGTCGTAGACCCCTTGCCATGTTTTTCCGTGTTGGGTAGACCCCCTACTTACCTAATATTGATTTCCTGTAAATTTCTAACCGTAGTGAAGTTTAGTGTTAAAAACTTGAAGTAAAAACACATGTTAATTTATACATTTATTAATTGAATTTAAATTAAAACCACTCAAAATAAAATTTTGTATCTGTTATGCAAAATATACGTAACATTAAATAAACAGGTGTCTGACCAATAAGTGCCCGCATTGGGAATAAGTGCCCGCATTGAAAAAAAAATAAGAGGGATGAAATAAAAAAAAAGTGAAAAATAATAAAAAAAAAGTTTTTTACTTAAAATAGTACAATAAGAGTTCGTTTATTAATTATAACATAAACGTATGTTCTACAATAATTTCACTGTTAGTTTGATTAAATGCCACTTCTTATACGTTTAAGTTATCTAAAAATAGGCAAAAAATTAACTAATTTTAGTGTGTACCTATCCTTGAATTTTCAGAATAATTTAAAAAAAAATATTTTCTATAAAGGAGGGTTCTTTAAAAAAATCAATGCGGGCACTTATTCCCAATGCGGGCATTTATTGGTCAGACACCAATAAACATAAAATAAACTATAAATAAAATAACATAAGCAATAAGTCAATATTTTTAGTGACAAGGATGAACCTGATGCTTTAAAAATAAATTATCAACATTTGGCGTCAATTTTGTAAGGGTTAATCTTAAATCTCCTCGGCTAATGATGTCCAGTCTGTTTCTTTTTTTCGTTAGGAGATTGGTAACAGCGCTGAACCCCCTTTCCACTAGGTATGACGATGGAAAGGAAATTAAAAATTTCCTCGCTATATTCCAAAATACGGGATAAGTAACGGGTATGTTGTTTTGCAGCCACAATTGCTGATATCCGTTTTTAAACTGAACCTTAAGTTCTTCGTTTGTACTTAGTTCAGTCAGTTCCTCTTGTATTATGACATTCGTTTCTTCTATGTCACCATATGGATTAATTATCCACCGTGGTATTACCATAGTCGAAATATCCTCAAACCTAGATTCAAAATCTGAATAGAGGGCATTTAAATGTTGAACGTAAGACGAAATGTCGTCTTCCTGGCAGCTTGTCTGAGACAAATTGGGGAACTGAGAAAATTCGCCCCTTCCAATATTTTGCTTCATCAGTTTAACTCTGGCAAGAAACGCCGATAAGATGGACTTTGTTTTAATCAAATTTAAACTGTCGCCTTGTAATTGCAAATTAACCATATTAAATTTTGTAAACAAATCTGTTAAATAGGCGATGTCTGTTTTCCTCTTCATTAAATTTTCTTTTAAAATTTTATATTTAGTATCCAGAAATTCTAAAATAGAGTCTCAAAAAGTGCAAAAAATCTTGTCAAACATAAACCTTTCGACTGCCATTTTACTTCAGTGTGAAGGAGTAATTGATGAAAGTGTTCGTCATTTTCTTCACACAATTGTGCAAATAACCGCGTATTCAACGCGTTGCTTCGGATTTGATTTACTGCATCAATGACTAAATGAAGTGATTCATGCAATCTAACACTCAAATTTTTAGCAACTAAATGTTGTCGATGGATGACGCAATGTATTGCTAACACCCCTGACACATTTTGTTTTAAATAGCTTATAAATCCACGATAACGTCCAACCATGGCAGGTGCTCCATCTGTAGCTACTGATATTATATTTGATAAAGGAATTGCTTTTTCAATGAAGTAATCCTTCAAAACATGAAATATTGATTCACCTTTAGTGTCGGTTATCAAAGTTCTCGCGAAGAGCAGTTCTTCGTAGATTTCTTGATTCATAATAAAACGAACATATGCCAATAATAATGCTGCATTATCAGGTAAAGTTGACTCGTCCAGTTGTATAGAGAAATAGCAACTAATTACATAAGAAGCTTTCAATATCAGAACTCATTTCATCAATACGTCTTTCAACAGTATTGTTGCTTAAGGGAATTCTTTTAATGATATCAGATGCAGGTTTGTGTAAAACAGTTTTTAAAACCTCTTCAACGGCTGACAAAATTAACTTCTCTCCGATGGTATGCGGTTTTCCGGATTTTGCTATAAGTAACGAGATATTGCAAGACGCCCGCAAACCATCATCATTTCTTTGTGACGTCGAAGCGAACATTCTGTCCAGTGTAGGTCTCTTCTGAAATTTATCTTTGAGTGTTTGAAAGTATTTCAAATCTTTCTCTGTTTTATCAGGGTGGCATCTTCTCAGATGATCTTGCAGTTTAGATGGTTTCATAGCGTCATTGCCTAAAACTTTGTTGCATAAAAGGCACATAGGCGATTGTTTGTCCGGCAATGATGGAATGAAGCCAAATTTCAAATAATCAACACGGTACAGTCTACATTTCTTTTTAGATTCGGACATGGCATCAGTCATCTGTGGGCAAAATTAAATTATTTAAATAAGACAGAAAATCCAGCAGCTGTACCTATATTAAAAATATTTTTTGATTTTTCCGAAAACATTCCATAATTCGAACAATTAGCTCGAATTACGGAGATTGCACTGTAATTATATTACCGATTGCTAAAACTTTCAAAAAGAAACTATTGAGGAGTACTCGTGTAATTTTGCATGACTGAATATTTAACTATTAATAACTAAAGTCATGATTGGCGTAATTTATCTATCTTTGCTAACTACGAGTACAAAACTAAAATTTAATAAAAAATAATGTACTTACTTTTCTCCAGCACTCTCAAACAAAATAACACTGACTCACTATAATTTGTGTGATATACTATCTGTTTATATATTTTAAAATACTTTCTTAGCACTTTCCTTTTCAAGATCCAGGAAACGAATAAACGTATTTGTCCCACATTCGTATTTATAGAGTGACGAATTGAACAAGTCAGTGCAAGGTAACGAAGTTCTGAGGCTGCGACTCTCAGGTTTTTACAAGTTCAAAATGTATTGCGACCACAAAGCGAATACCACCATCCTACAACTTACACAATTTTATAAACATATAACGTATAATAAATTTTTTACTTCATAGGTACTTTTATAAATAATGTATATGTTTTGATATTATAAGATAGTATGCTGTAAGTAAATAGGTACTATCAGTGTATGTGTTGAGATCCACTATCGTGGACCCCCATATTCATTTCATGGACCCCCAAATTTTTGTTCGCTGACGTACACCCCTCGCAGGTTGTCATAGACCCCTAGGGGTCTATATAGACCACTTTGGGAATCAATGATCTAGTACCTATTTTTGTGGTGAATTTAGATTGATGCATGTACGAATTCCGCTACCGAAGCCACTTCAATCTATTAGCCTTTATCTTCCACGTTCCGCGAACAGCGCATTTATAAAATTAACCGTGATCGCGCTGTAAAAAAAATGACAACGCTAAACACCAATTAGAAGCGCTTAAAACCGTTTTATACGTCAGGCAGTGCGCAAAATTGGGTTGATAGATATAATTACCAGATGTTGGTGAGCGTACAATAAAAAGAAAGCTCAGACGGCTTATTACACTGCGTATAACTATTCAAGTTCGTCGTTTTGTGCATGTGGCAGCCGGCGTAGATTCTAATCTTCATTTGTACTCATTTTCACGTAAAAAAGGTGCAATTTATTGAAAGTATGGGAACAAGTTTCATTGAAAAAGATTTGTTACGTTAGACATACATGTTATCTAGGTGAATGATCACTCACAATCCAATATCACAGCTGATCCATCTGCTAAAAAGGTTGTTGAAACCAGAATTCTCAATGGTATTAACTATGCTAAAATGTTATACAGTACATCCGGTAGAGAATGTTTGTTATTCTATAGAAAAAGTAGCGAAAATATGCTTCCATCCCAATTAAATTATAATAATAATAATAAGCAGGAAAAAAATACTTAAACACATAAACAAAATAATAACATACCAAAAAAATACAGTTCATAAGAATGACAACATTGACTGCACGAGACAAATGCAGATAGTATTGTGAGAGTTTTAAATTTGAAACAAAAATAGTAGAAAATAGTAAAACAAAAAAAAAGCACATGAACACAAGAAAAACTGAACTAAATGGACTTTTCATCAATTTCTTAAAAGAAGCAACCTGTTTGGATCGATAGCCACTGTTGACTGCATAGTAATGCTTCACAGCATTATAGGTGTAACTTCTTTCAAAGACCGAGGTATTGTGAGGAGGCATGTTAAAATTAGCATAAAATCTAAGAGCTCTGGTAACAAAACTACCACGGCGAACTAATTTGCTAGCGAGGTAAGCTGGTCTGTTAGATAATAGAACTTTATGCGTGAAGGCGGTTAAAAGATATCTCTCCTAATAAAGCAAACATGGGCGCGCAAGAATTTTTTTCAGGGAGGGGGCGATCATCGCTTCGCTTAAATGCTCATGTCACCCTATCTAAGAAACTAAATAGGCATATGTTCACACTACTACTACGACAATTGAAGTGCAGCGTTACTAGAAACGGATTGCTGTTGTAGTAACACACTGTATAAGAATGATAAAAGGGACAATGAAACGAAATGTTAAACAAAACATATTGTCACAGAATTGTTCAATTGTACTTGAGAAAGGTCACAGTGGTGCTCAAAACGTCGTACAGAAAACAGAAATTTAAAGATATTTATGTAGTTTGATACTGCCAGGCAATGTAGTTCTAAGAATTACTAAGTGGTTCTTGGTACTTTTTCCCTCTCATCTTACTTACTGTATAACTCTATGGGGTAACCCTTATAATGTTGAGATGGAGAAAAGGTCGGTTAAGTGTAAGCTCCTGTAAATAAATTTAAGTTTAATGTCACTGCCTTCAATGCTCAGGTTCTTTATATTCCATATGTATGTTCAGATTAGCAGGTTCTGCTCGCAATTCCTTATCCCTGAATTTGAATCTTTAATAATATACTATCTGGAGACATTGAGCAACTTAAAATTTAAAAAGGCTATCAAAACTATACTGCTGTGTTTCTGCAGCACTGTTGAGTTTTACATCGTATTGGTCATTGCTGAAATAACATAGTTAGTAGAAAATTTAATCACTGACAGATGAGCCAGTTTTAAGAACTTTTTTGGGCTTAATGTAGTATTTGAGTTCTTGAAGATAGAAATTTCGAACAACATTCATAGTTCATCAATAATAATAAGGGAACAACTGCTATAGGCTTACGTTGCTTCAGCAGGAAATAGGGTTAGTGGTAGATAACTTAAGCAAAAGAATCATACTTTTCATGCTTTTGTTAAATATTGACTTATTAACATGTCACAACTTTTAATTTTGCATGTTTTAATATTTTTGAGATACATAAGCGGAAAGCAAGGTAAGGCAAATACCTGAGAAAATCGAAGCTATGAATTGACCATCGTGAGAAAGTACAGACTTTATTCGTTCAACTTTCTTCAATAATCGGCAATCGGTTGTAGAAGAACCCACGTGCTTATTTGATTACTGGGCATCATGGTGTATTTTTTTCAACAGAAAAATGACATTGCAAGATAGATCTTGTGAGTTTAGGTCTCATTTTTATACGAACTATATGAACAGCTCTTTAAGATATTTAGCGTATAATTAAAAGAATGTGATTTCAAGCAAAATGGATAAGGCACGTGATTTGATTTTTGTGGTTAGTTAAAACGGATATTATGGTGAAATATACCTAATATAAGTGAATATGAAAACAAAACAAATTAAGATGATGGTACTGTGTTTGAAATGGCTCGTTCAAGAACCCGCCGTCGAGTAATGCTTGGAAAAACCACTATGTCTGGGACATCAATATTTTTGCACGGAGCGTATATTACGTGGCAATAATATAACGGAGAAGGAACGTAGTGACTTACGATGTGTATATCCAGAATACGCAATATACAATAACTTATCAATTCGCAACCAGTTGAGTTCTTTGATTTTATCTGAGACGCGACTAAACTTGCGCAATCCAAAAATAAACCTACAACAGCTGTTCTGAATTTTCTGGAGTTTCCTTTTGTGGACGTAGTCTAAACATGGGTAATAAAGAACAAGAGAGTAAGAAATGACGGACAACACAAGACTTTCAGCGAGCTTTTTTTCGGGTTTTAAAATTCAGGATGAATCGATTAGAATATAGGAGTTTCAAACGGATAGATAAGAAAGAGACATGCCGATCGAATTTCATATTTAAGTCAAGGGTAACACCGAGATTCTTGGCGTAATCCACAAAAGGGATGAGTGTCTCATCCAGAACAACACAAATCCTCTGCTTCATTTCACGGTAGGAGTTCTTCGAACAGTACAACATTGCAATAGTTTTATTAGCATTTGATCAAGCAGTGTTTGTTACAGTAATCACTGATGTTAGCCAAATCTAAATTAACTTTAAAAGAAACTTCATCAACCTTTGATGGATCGAAACCAAACACTAACTGAGTATCATCTGCATAAGTTTGCATACTACAGTGGACTAAACAGTCTTGCAGATCGATCGTATAAATCAGATATAGTAAGGGACCTAATACTGAGCCCTGTGGAACTCCCGTAGGAACTAGCTCAAAGGAAGAAATTCCCTGACCAGTTTTCACTGCTTGTTGACGATTTAGCAAGTATGACTCAAAGAACCTTAGAACTATATCTGACATTCCATAATGAGATAACTTACTTAGTAGTATCTGGTGATTGACCATATCGAAGGCTTTCGAGAAATCTAACAGTACCAAGACGGTGTTGATGTGATTATCTAAATTGTGAATGATGGAATCAGTAAGATGTAATAAAGAGGAAGTAGTGCTGTAACCAGCTCTGAAACCTGACTGATGTAGAGGAAATAA